ATTAACTAAACTACTACTGAAGAATACTATTAGTAGTCAAAAGAACTAGTCATAAAATGGAAGGACTGTTGCCAGAGGTAAATATTTTAATGCCATTTTTTGTTTATAAACACATACACATTAAAGAGGCATTAGACTTATTTCACATACTATACTCTTGCTCTGAAATATATCATCCACAACTTAGTACTAGTTAGGTTGAGCAAAACAAATAGTCTGAAGTATTGGTTCAACACAGATAAACTAGTTTATTGATTAGATGTACAAAACATTTCCAGTCAATAATATATGTATACGAGTGAATTTGTTTGCTGTAACAGTCACATAGAAAACCATGGAATATGATAATAGAAATTGGTATTTATACCTTAACTTGAGTTGTTTTGGAGAATAGCTGTGCAGAATTACCTAATCTCCATCTGCTTAACTCATACGCAGAAGTATAAAAATATCAACATACCAGAGTTGCAACTATTCTTTGTTTTGTTTCCATCTGGTATTCTTGAAAGAAGAAAAATCAGAAGATCAGTACAGAAAAATTATAGGACTGGTTATAGGACTGCTACTGAGGAATAATCCTTACTGAGGATTTTACTGGGTTAAAGATCAGAAAAAAATGTAGTTAGGGCCTTGCTATGAATAATCAAGGATTGTGGACATTTGGCCACTTCTTTAGTGTGTATAAGTTATAATTCGATAAGTGTATAAAATAAAATAAAGCTCTGAAATAACAGAATATATAAAAAATTGAGAGGAATAGAAACTGGCAAGAGTGCCTTTTCACATCATCAACAAAACACAAATAGCTAGGTTTCCTGCACAGTGAGTCAGCAGTTATTTGGAGGTAAGATTTAACTTCATGTTGAATGGTAAGAATGTTTATAACGATATACTTCTATATTTAAGAAACTGTACAGAGTAGCATTCCCTCTCTGTACTCTCTGGGACTGTTGAAAGTCTTATGTGGTAATAGCACCCTGCAATTTTCCTGTTTTATTGACTTTACTCTTACTTGTTACTTAACATAAATAACCAGAGCTCACACACATTTTGTGAACTGCTTGTGAGTGATTCAGATGCAGATGCATAAGTAAAAGCACCTTTCAGATATCCCTGAGTATCCAAGACTTCTACAAGAGCAAACAGGAAAAAGCCTGATGAGATGTGGGATCTGCGCTCTTACGGAATTGCAACTTGGACCCAGTTGTAGTAACATCAATCATCTGAAACATCCCCCTTTCATTTGGTAGTTGAATGCTGCCTTCTTAGTGATATATTTGAATATCTGAAAGCTGAATATTCATTAAAAATAGGTGGAAATGTGTAGCTATTTGTTTATTGTCCTCGTTTATTTACTGTGTCAACATGGTAGGACATACTACCATGCGTGTTTTCTTTCTCTAGTCTTTCTTTTATTCCAGATATTTTTCATCTCATTGCAATTTATAGAAAATAACGGTTTTGAGGTTTTACTGCCCTAATAAATTATTAGATAGAATTTAAAGACAAAGGATCTGTTATACTGGCATAAGTTTGAAGTAAAATGAGTGCACTTAAGGAAATGAACATGGGACTGATAATATTGACTTTACAGAAGATTTCTTGCAGTTCTTCTTGGCAAGTTACTCAAGCAAGGATTATACTATATATTAACAATAATTTTCCTTTCATATTTTTCTTAACACTTTGTTTCCTTCACAGTGTCTTTTGTCCAAACATTCTTTAACATTGCATTTTGTTGTAGTTCATATCCAGAAAGCTAAGTTATTTTGCACCTCTCTTCTTTTCAGTGGAAAAACAGAGGAAGGGAGAAAGGTGGGCCAAATCAATTTTTTTGGTATACCTCTTCTTTTTTATGCATACGTGCATGGCAAGTGATATCTGCCAGCATAAATATATTAGATTTCACACATAATCTTAATCATAGTATTCAGAAATAAGATGAGACTTCTTGACTGCTTGCTACTTATTCTTCAGTGTATCTTGAGGGATTTCTCTTTCTGTAATTATTGCCCATTTCCAAACTTTCCTCTCCAATAACTACTTCGGCATATTTCCCATCTTTTTTCTTTCTGTAGGAAAGTCTATTGTTAGATTTTGTATAAAAGTACTTGAAAAATATTTTCAATTTTCAACCTGTATGTTCTTGGACTTATTGAAAGCTGCTCACTAAAGTAAATGGGAAAATAGATACTCAGGTATATGTTTCTGGTATTTTTCATTAGATTTATTTCCAAAATGTGAATCGTGACTATGCTTTACAAGAGTAAGAAACATCAGGTTCTCAATTTTTGCTTTTATAACAATACTGTGAGAAAAGTGAATATAAGTATGAGGAAACTACTTATTAATAAGCAACTACTTTATTTTGTATTATACTTGGAATTTCTTATAGTAACTCTCAGGAGTATAAATTGAGTTTTGTGAGAACTATAAACTTATGTCATTGCTTGGAATAACAGAGGTAAAACAACTCAGAAAATTGTCTCTGCTGACTCCTTGAATAGAAAGATTCTGTTTCTCCTGTTTAATGAATCCCTTTGCACATCTATTTCCATGGATGTTTTCACTGCTCATAAATACCTCTAAGAATGAACCTATTTTACCCAACATATTATTTTTTAATCCCTTTCTATTATTCATGCAGTAGTCTGTATTTTGTTTTGTTGGACAATATTGCAATTCAGGTTTTGATGTTCTGTTTTTTGTTGTTTTTTTTTTTAAAAAACAATATTAAGAATTTATTTAAAATACATAGTTTGTACTGTTAAATTGGGGGTAAATGAATATTGATGCCTTCCATAATCTTCTAATTGTCATGGTCTCAGCAACATCATGAATTAATGTATGTTGATGTAGACACTTTTTTTTTAAAGTATAACTGGAAGATTTAACGTGGTGGTTATTTATTCTTTTATTCTGCTTAGAATAACCTTTATGCATAGCTCTATTCGTAAACAGCAGAAAGTAGATGTTAAGAGTCCTAGTTTCAGCTTCATTTTCTATTACTGATTTGCTCTGCTCCTTTACTCCAAATTACACCTACAGGTCAACTTAATCAGAAGGAAATGTAGTGGAGGGATCAAGGCGTATTGATATGTCTCAAGAGACATATTTGTTGTATTTCAAGTTGTTTCAATTTGATGTAGAAGTAAATAGAAACTTTTCCATATGAGTTCATTATTCAGAACTAGTGAGATCCAAAAGCCATGTCTTTGACATGTGGCCACAAGATATAACCAGTTATCCTACCTTTAACACATTATCCTGAAAAGCAGATTAGGATTCATCCTTGACCTTCATTTGTTGTTGTTTTGGTGTTTTGTTTTTTTTTTTTCCTGATTAGAGGAGTGTGCTGATCAGGTTATAAATTGATCTGGCAGTATTTACAAAGTGGTATTTGAACAGAATTTGCAAGAAAAGAAGTATTTTCTTATATAACGTTAGTACATTTTCTTTGCAGCCCTCAGTTTTGAAAAAATAATAAAGTGAAAAACCCTGAAGAAATAATCTCTTCCGAGAAAAGGTGCTGAGTGGTTCACTGAGAGACAAGTCCATACCTAGTTTCAAACTGCCTATTATAAGTAGTCCCATCTCCTTCCGAACCCCTTTGAGTTACAGACACAGTTGGAGAATCAGAGTTTAATCTCTATTTTTCTCCAGTGCTTGGATGATGCAGGAACTGCTTGTGACTCAGTACAGCAGCACAAACTCTGTCTTCATCTTGCGTAAAAGATCCAGGCTGCATGAAAGCAGGAGCATTACATAAGCAGCTAGAATTTCAGGGTGAAAAAGCTTGTCAAAGAATCAAATCAACAGGGAAGGTAAGAAATATCAGTGACCATTACAACAAGATGATCTTACAGAGATTCATCTTTTGTCTCATGGAAAGTGGGATTTTCTTAGTTCCCAAGTGATTTCAAAGAGGCAGGTACCTTTCATTGCACAATCAAGGACTGTCTTTCACTGAGACACTGAGGTGACTCATTTAGGCTCCAGTGTTAAAAGGAAGAAACAGCTCTTTGTTTCTGTATCCTTCTTATAGACATTATCATAAATAAATATATAAATATAAACTGCCCAGAATTAGTATAGACTAAGAAAGCTCTGTGGAGGTTGCTAGGCAGCCGAGGCCAAAGGAATAGAAAGCAGTTGGGTCTTTGAAAAGCAGAATCAGTGACGTATGGGTTATTTGGAGTCACCATTTACTCCATTGTCTTTTGTCATAAACAAGAAGCCGTGAAATTTATATTTCTTTAGTAAATGAGCAGTGATTTTATAAGATTTGAAATAAAAGATCTGTTTTGTATTTCATGCCTCTGTTTACAAGCTATGAAATTATATGTATGATAATGATTTATAAAGTTTATTTATTCATTGATTTAAATAGGATAGGCCCAATTTATCCAGGCTATAACTTGAAAATAATTTAGCAGGGTAATTATTTTAAATTTTTTGTCTCATTTGCATCACGATTTGCATTCAATTCTCCAAGGTAGGTTCAAATGCTTAGGGGTATATCTCATCATCAAGAAGTGTGTGTTTTGCTGCTGCTAAAGATAGGTGAAAAATATCCTTTTTATCATCATGCCCTGGATGTATGTTGAAGCTACTCATTATAGAAATATAGCAGTAACACACACACCCTTCATATTACTGTTAAGCATTTAAAAATGCAGTAGGCATTCCTAATAGGCAAGATCTTCATATGCGAGATTAGATGATCACATTGGCTAATTGCTTCCTTTGAAATCTCTTCTGGTATTTGTGTGTTAAAGTCTTCCTAAAATTAACTGTGCTTTCAGCAACTGTGTTACACATGCAAGTATGATGAGGGAATAGCATATCTTACAACTCCTACCTTCTCTGACAGTATAATGACAGCTCCTCCATATCATATTTTGATCTGCATTACTTATTTCTCAATGTGTTTAGATTAGCATGTCTCTAGAAGATTAAATTGATGTATCACAGATTTTCAAAATGTATTTCTTTCACAGGGTGAATGCTGTGAGGTGGTCCAGGCAACTCTGTGGAACATTCTCCAATGGACTAGTAGGATGAGAAGATCCAAGAGTAGTTTGGGGAACAAGGAGAAACATCACCTCTCATGACGGTAAATCTACCAAAAAGGTAATTCATGCTAGACTGTTTTTGCACAGCCTGCTATTAAAGCTCATAGATGTAACATGCAGCAGAAAACAGTAGGGAATGCTGTTTTAATTTTCACACTGAGGCCTCTGACTTTCTATCTCTTTCCTTGTGTGAGGGAGAATTCAGACGCTATATCTTACAGGACTTTTGTTGCTTTCCTTTGAACATGTTTAATAACATAAATAAGAAGTTTACAGTGACTTACCAAAAAAATTCCTTATTAGACTCATGAAAATGACAGCAATATAAGCCATATGAAAAATTAGAATACCAGAATATTTGTTTACAAGAAGATTTAGAAGCTTTATTTTTACCTGTACAGAATCTTGTTAGGTTGACTTATTTCATTCTTCTCTCAGAAACTTATCTGGTGTCTTTTTGGAGACACTCTTCCTCCCCTGAACCTTAACTGTGGATATTTTTATTGCTAACGCTTAAGAAAGTCAAGAGAATGTGAAAACTATTGATCTGTAGCCCCTCAGCATTACTATTCTTCCTTTGTTCAGCCAGAAAGTACCAGTCAGTGAACATTAAATCTCTCTGTTGTCCCAAAAGCTCATCTATATGGAATATATGTAAGCCTAGTTAATTTTGACTACGTCCCTGCTACATACGTATTTATTGGTCTTCAGTTAAAATTAAGTTTATTAAACACACTCATTTTGTGTACTTATCCTTAACCAATTCTGTCCTATGATGTGTTACACAGTATCTGATAAGCTGATTTTTACTGCTTTCATTTATTTATGTGCCTTAATATATGCAGAGAATAAGTATATTAACAATGGGAAATTATACATCTAAATTAACTGGTGGAAAATCAAATGGGATCTTCGATGCAGAAGTTTTCAAAAGGTACTATCCCCACATCTTGATATACCCAAAAAGCACAAAACATCATTTAATTAGGAAAGCTTTTTCTTAGGAGTATGTATGATTTAGTTGATTGAATAGTAGGTAAGGCTTTCAAATATCTCTGGGAAATACCTTCCCTTTTGTTGCTAGTAAATTCTGTCCAGCTCTCTGGTACTTATTAATTAAAACCATCCAGAGATTGCACTACTACAGTTCATAAATTGCTTCCCTGCTTCAACAAGTTTGGCAGCTACTGGAAAACAGGCCGATCTATACTCACATAACTCAGTGAGAGTTTTGTCTCTGTATAATCTACAGCTGGCAGAAAATGAGAGTCTAAATCATTCAGCTCTGAAAAGAATAGAAACTGCTTTTAGGAGAAGTTATGAAAATATGTGTGTATGGGAACTGTTGAGTCCGAACATGGCCCAAACCACTGATTGATCACCTGAGGAAAGGACTGAGTCAGCCGTGGGAGCACAGGTGAAGGCAATTCACCTGCATGGAAGGAGTGGAGCCTGGCTGCACTTCTTCTAGACCCCACTTAAGGGCTGACTGCCACTGGGGAAGGTTTTCTTTGTGGAGGTTCCTCCTTTGTGGAGTCCTTCCTGCAAACCTAGATCATCAGGTACAGGTGAGCATTCCTTCTCTGTTCGTTTCTTTTCACATTTTTACCATGATAATCTTTCTTGCTGTAACACCAACTGTAGCAACATGACAGAAGAACTTGTTGATATGGGAAAGAGAAGTTTTGCCTCCCAGATTTGGACAAATTGGTTGCAAGTTGTCATATATTTGATTTCCACACAAGATTCCCCAGACCTAATTTTTTTTTAACCACATAGAAGAAATGAGTTAATAAGTTTTTTTATAATGAGGATGCACAAGTGTTTAGGGGGGGAAAAAAAAAAAAAAAAAAAAAAGTATGAATTGGTCTCAAGCAATTTACTGTAAACAAAAGACAAGAATAGCTTATTAATGGTTGGAATCATTGAAATTCAAGCTGCAGTTCTAAGATGTGCTTCAAATATTTTCTTGGTGCATTTTTCCTCCTATAAAATAGGTAGTCTGAAAATGCTGTAATTTGTGCTTGCTCTTGCTTTTGTGATAAATCTAACCTCAATGTCATAGAAAGCAAATTGGGTGTCAGACTTTACACTAGGTAAAGAAACTACAGCTCTTCAGGGTAAATAGGGAAAGAAAGTGAAACTAGATGTGATGACATCGAGATCTATTTATCTGCAACATACTAAATAGAATTTGAACTTAGCCACCCTTACTCTTAATGTGAAACAGGATGCTTAGTGGACTGGCATTTCAGTCTCTGATTCACTGGTTAAATTGCGTCAAGTGGACTAGCGTTGGAAAGGCGATTCTGGCTGAAAGAAGGAGAAGATAAGAATGTTCTTTTAATGTAATTTGAGATCTTGATGGTAAAAGGTAATTTATATTTTTGGTGACAGCCTTTTGTTTTCCTCTGAGTCAGTGATACTGATCTGATATCAGTACTAAATATCTCTACTTGAATATATATACATATATATACTTACTGTTTTGTTTTTATGTGATAAATACTTATTTTTGGTCTATTTTAAGATGAGTGGTCTTAACTTTTATTTTCGTGGCAATCACTGTTCTCCAGAAATGTTATCTGTAAGTAAATTCATAGCAGTCAATGCTTGTTCTGTTTTTCCTCTTTCTTCCTAACAGCTTAGTAATCGGTTTTGTTCTATATTTTGTTGAACAGTTCAAGCCTTTCAAATTAAATGAAAGGACATACAGCTTCAAACGTAATGAAAAACTCCATTTGAGATTGAGGTGTGTCTCAGAGTTTGGAACAGCAGAAGAAATGAGATATTCAAATCAAATCAGAAGTGCTTTCAACCTGATAACAATTAACATAGACATATTTAGGAAAAAAAGCCTTTATTTTGAATGGCTATAGATACTGACCTATGTTTTCACAACTAGGTACTACAGTCCAAAACAGGGATATTTTTTCATGCAAGATTATGTGGGCAGTGTCTATTGCTAGCAGGCAAAGGGAATGCTCAACTAAGTAATTTTTTCATATTCTTTGTGTCTATGAATGTAATCTATAAAGCTTCTATTCTGTTCAGAATTTTTTCTTTTAACAAAGAGAGCTCTAGGAATTTGTCTTAAAGAAACCTCAGATAGAATCAAAGTCAATAACCCTCAAGAAACAAATGGGGAGAGGAAAATTTAGTAGAAATTCCTTTAATATTTCACAAAAAGTCCTAAAGATTGTGACATGAGAAGAACAGACCATTGGATCTTTGGAATGATCTGAGAAAAACATAAAGAAGCTAGACAGGAGTAGGCAGTCCTCACTGGCATTATTCATTGCCTCCCCACAGCTGAGAATACTGTATATAATGAATTTGATATATTTTGTGAGGAAAACGGATATCTTCATGTTTAAACTTGCTGTGTCAAATTCTTTCTTCGTAAAAAAAACTGGTAGAAAAGCTCACCTCTCAGTGTGTCAGGATGCAAGCTGTTCAGTGTCTCTCTTTTCTCCTTCTCTAGAGCTACTGCTTTGTTCATCTGCCACTTCTGTTTTTGATTGTTATTTCTCCGTTACTATTTCATTTATTTCTTACCTATTGAACTACTCATCCTGTATTTCTCAAGTCATGTTATGACAGGTATCAGAAAACTTTTCTTCTGGTACTGAAATTTGGAATATTTATTCTTTACAAGGTTGAATGTTCTGGTATTTTCCTGAAAGTTCTGTTTGCTCTCCTGTTCTAGGCTCCTGTACTGTAACTTTTAACACTTATTTTAGTGGAAATTTTGCTTTGGCTGCAGTGGAGTGGAACGTGGTTAAAAAGTTGATCCCAATAAGTGGCACTCAGTAACATTTGTTTACTTAATTCCTTTGGCACACAACTTTGGTTTATATCTGATGTATGGTATTAATCTTTATTGTGAAGATCCTGATCAATAGCAGTAACCAGACTTGCATATTACCAGATGAACTGCCTGGACTAAGCAATATGATTACTAAAAGAGCGAAGTGAAACTGATCTACATACACAAGGTGTCTGACTACAGTTAGAACTCCCCAGGGCATATAAAGCCATATCAAAGTAACTGGAGAAGAAAGTTATTCTTGTGGAGGTGTGTGAAGGTTTCATGATTTTATGAAGCATGACTTTATGGCCTTTGAGCAAAACCACACTGAAAGGCATTTACATGAAGGGTATAATTAAACTTAATTGTAAGCATAAAATAGAACAACATTATGATTAGGATGATATTTTATGTTGGATTTGTTTGTTTGTTTTGCCTTGCCATTCTCTGTTTGCTTGTACTATGTAAAACTTTAAAGTTTTGCTAGATATAGCTTCTTTTTATTTTTAAACCTCTCTGGTGTTGAGGATTAAGATGAATCACAGTGAAACCACAGGACCGACTACATTGCTAGAGGTAAAAATTCAGAAGAACATGTATGCAGGTAAATAAAAGGGAGCTGCACCTTGAGACACAGGTGCTGAGAATGCTTCCTGCTGCTCTGTAAAGCATAAGTATGGAGACTGTCTGCCAAATATCAGCCTCTGGGAAGGAATTCCCTCTGGCAGAACTATCCTGTGTTCTTCCTGCTTAGGAACAGATGGCAAAGAGACAGCTCACATCACCAGGCTGACCTGGATATAATGTTTTTCTCTGGAATGAAGATCACTTTAATCCAGTAAAATGTTCTGTTCAGCCATACAGGTATTTGAACTGATTTAAGTCAAATATTGTTTTGGGGGCAATACCTACATTTTATTTTGTATACACAAAGCTGATTTTATATGACATAAAATGTAGTAGCTGACATAAGTAAATTGAAACGAAGTTGAGAATATATTTCTGATATGCTGAAGCAGTACTTTATACTTTATATCAAATAGGCTATTATATACTGCCATTACATATATATAGTGTGGCACCAAAAGTAATGCCTCCAATTTAATTCTGTAGAAATTACAGTTGATACAGAGAGCACAATAACACTATTAAATAGAACAAATTCTCAACTACAAAACACTACTTTTCAGCACAGTTAACACCATTAGCTGTGCATTTTCACCAGTGATGAACAAGAGCCTGCAGAT